TTAACTTTCCTTCGCATACAAGGTAGATGTGTGACAATATCCCTGTTGCGTGTCACTCCTTTTTGCATTCTTCCGCAACTCCAGATGAGCAGAAATGCTATCAGTACAGGCACAGCGTTTGCTGTACGCAACTTCGTACACTGGGCAGCGAGTTGCTCAAGCGCCTCACAGATCATTCTTGTCGATTTGCTCTGCTGGTTCACTTCTTCCAGCTTCTTCCTGCTGCTTTTCTTTAGCGGTCTTACGGCGTTTTGGTTCGTCGATTTCCGACGACTCCGAATTCTCCACAGGGGATTCACTTTCGCTGGCCTCATCCGACATCTTACTGTCACTGCCTGCTTCGTCCTGCATGGTGTCCCTGACAGGCGTCTTTTCCGGCACTGCGGGTGCTTCTGGTACTGTAGGTTCTTCCGGAACGGCTTCCTTTGGAACTTCTTGATCTTTTCCTGCATCCGCTTCCGGGGCATCCAAGATTTTCTTTGCTTCACGCGACTCCAACGTTTTGCGTAGCTTGGCCTTGTGGCGCTCTTCGTACTTCTGCCGAAGCTCCTCTCGGGTTGGTGCTTCCGGGCTAGGCTCGTCCAGAACCACCACATTCTTTTCATCCTCTTTGGCTGTCCAGATACTGGGCTTCTCTGGCTTGGTCTTCTTCTTCGCTGTAGCTGCTTGGCTTGCTTCCTTCTTCCGGTTGGCTTGCTCTTCTCGATACAGAACTGGAAAGTCTCCTTCGTCCTTTGCCTGCTTCCAGAATCGCTTGTTACTCTCCGCGACTTCCCTGGACATACTCCCAAAGTCGCAAAGTGCGAGCATCGGGAAAAATCTTTTGTACGGATTCGTAGTATCTCCTTGGAATCCGGGACGAGTGATTCCTCGCATCGGGTACAGTCGCCTCGTCTTGTTTCCACGATCCAGTATCGTGAGCATTGGCTCGTACAGGCAAAAGCATAGCTGGCTGAACTTGCATGCCTTCTTCCAATGTCCACCATGCCAACACAGCGAGCACAAACTTTTTCCTGGAGGTAAGCTTCCATACACAGTACGTCTCCGGGTAGTCTCTGTTGGCTCGATGTCCAAACGACCCTTTCCTGCAGGATGCATACTCCATACTTCCGTGAAGCGTCCGGCACCTTTACACTCTCGGCGAGACGGGATGAGTCGTACACTGTAGGGTTCCAGCTGGGCTTGGATTGTCTCATAGTCTTCATACGAAGTGATCTGCCAAGGGAACTCCCATAGGGGCTGACACTCTCCGTCTTTCTCTCCAATCCCGCGCATAGCCAATCCAGAAAGGATTTGTACCAACTCCTTTGTCCAAGTTGGACTGAAAGGTTCTGACCCAGGTAAATACTCTTCTCCGCTTCGTAGAGGGCGATTCTCGTCGATGTCTTCTTCATAAATTCTTTCTGTCCACTCCCATCCTGGGGTTTCCTCAGGCGGTTGCTTCTTACCTTTTCCAGACCTTCTTTGCTCTGGAAGCTTCTTCTCTTTCTCCTTTCCAGCCTGAGCATCCGTTCCCAACTTGGGCATTTTCCTTGGCATCGCTTTAACAGCGGGTTCAGCTGGTTCCGGTGCTTGAGTAGTTCCATCGTGGATGGATTGCAAGATCTGAAGTAGACCCTTTTCTTCTCCGTGGCGTACTGCGATGTTGAGGGCTTGTCCCATGGCACTTTGCAGTCTTTCCGATGCCACAATGAATCCACTTTGAGCCTTCTCCACATTCCTGCAAGCTTGGAGCCAATTCTCCTCGGCCTTACGAGCGTTTTCCACCTGCTCGTCTTTCCGAGCTCGTAGCTTGTCCACGACTTCAAGGGCTTTGTTGCGGTACCATTCTTCCGCCGAGTCCAGTGCTGCTTCGGGTACCTTGAGCTTTGCTTGCTGCTTGTTAGCTTCCTGAAGTGCTTTGGCCATACGCTCCGATTCTTCCACTGCGCGAAGGCGTTTGGTTTCTTCCTCCAGTGCTCGTTGCTTTTCTTTCGTCTCAGCTTCCAAGATCCGCTTTTGCTCTTCCAGATCGGCCAACTTTCTCTTCCGAGACTCTGCCTCGGACTTCTTCTCTTCTTCTTCCTTAAGAGCTTCGAGTTGTTCTGTCTCTTGATCCTTTCCTGGGGGATCATAGAAAGATCTGGGCTTGAATTTCTGATTGTTCTGCAACATCCGGCTGTAGATACTAAGGAAGGGGGGTTGATACTTTCCGTCAAGTCTGAATCTCTTATACTCTTTCTCAAGCAACATGACGTTCTCAATCGATCCTGCCACTTCCATAGCTTCATCCAACTTACGTCGAACACCTTGAGGACTGGTGGCTTCTTCTTCCTGTTCCTTCCTAGCCTTCTTGGCTTTACGGCTCTGCTTGGCTTCTTTCCTGGCAGTCTTCTTTTCTTTCTTCTTTTCTTCTCGCGACTTTCCTCCAGTTGTACCTGGAGTCTTTGCTGGAGTACTTTCAGCTTTCCTTCCTGGCGTCTGCAGGAGGTTAGCTTGCTCCACCAAGGTAGCTCGCCTC